TATATATAAGTTATATATGTTGTTTTCTAACTAAATATACTAAAAATTTATTAATCTGTACAAAATTGAGTACTGGCTTTTTATTAATTCTTTTAACACTTATTCACAAATGATATGTCCAAAATTTAAAATGTAGCCCCGCCCCTAGGGCATGCTAACTGCAATTGAGACTGGGCGTGGTGGCGCACACCTGTAATCCCAGCTCTTGGGAGGCTGTAAACAGGTGGATCACTGCAAGTCTGATCTAGTAGTGAAACCGTGAACACCCTGTAAACCCTTCCCTAAAAATAAATGAATAAATATAAAAAAATAAAATGTAACTTAGCACTGAGAAGTAATCACATTGTGGTGATAAAGAATGGAGAATGCTTCTGTCAAAGATTAACTCTCTTCTTAGAATTTCTTTGGAATGTTGAGGAAGATTTCAGACCTGTTCCCGAGTGTTGGATACCAGCCAAGGAAATAGAACGGCTGCAGGGGACTCCAGTGCCCGATGAAAATGGACACATTCCCGGTATGAGGACTCTCTTTGGAAATGCAGTTTCTTGTTTACTAGTAGAAAGAATACATGCTGTATTCCAGTGGTGGTGAGCCTATGCCCTGTGTGCTATTTTTCTTCAAGGAAGATGTCAATGTTTTTTGGGTTTTTTTTTTACAGTACTGGGGGTAGAAGATATCAATGTATGAATTGTTTTTTCTAAACTAAAACCCCAGGATTCAGGTTTAATTGCAGTGCTGACATTTTGGGATGAATAAGTTTGCAGCGTGGGCGCTCCTCTCTGAAGGGTTCACTGGAATACAAATGTATATTCAATCTGGAATTGCAGAATTTAATTTTAATCTAGTTCCTCAATTATGTGTATGTATACTGCCAATTTTCTAAATCAAATTTTTATAAAATCTTAATGGTTTGTAGTAAATATTTTCCCATGTCAAGAATATCCAAGTAAAAAGTCTTTTCTAAAACTTTGCTGTGACAGTAAAATTTGTGGTTGGAGTTATAGAGTGGCTCAGCACTTGAAGGCCCTCCTTTTCTAAGCAGGTTGAAGTTATTCTGAAGTAATAATTATAAATAAGGGATCAGCAAAGCTAAATTAAAATTTAGATATAGAACTGTGATAAAGTGGGGTGGTTTTTACTGGAGGCTACAGACAACTAAGAAGTTACTATAGTAATTGGTAATGAAGGCCAAAAATGTGGTCACAATTGTATAAGTCTCCTACTTTTCTCTTCCTTTTTTTGCAGTGAATTCTCCATGAGGGGGGCTATTCTAGTAATAAGAGAAGGAAAATAGTAGTAATATTCAATAGACATGAAGTTTGTTAACTTGTTCAGTGTGTACTAGGTAGAATTCAGTAACAATTGAATACTTTGTAAGTTAACCATCTATGAAATTGGAATGAAGATAGAAAACTTAATTTGGAAAAATATATGTATAGAGTGGCAGACAATTCTTCCTGAATCAAGTGGAATTTTCTAGACAGAATGTTGGTTTTATACAGTGGAATAATAAAACAGGTCATTGAAGAAATGCTGAATGGCATGCATGTTATGTTTTTCTAGAGAGTTGTTGTTTTCTAAAGTAAAATCTCCATACATTCTGGTTTAACTGCAGTATTAGTACTTTACAATAAGTAAGTGGATCTTGGGTTGTAGTTTGGGCACTTGATCTCTAAAAGGTTAACTGTTCAGTTGAATAAAAAATGAATGGTTTATGGTTAAAAAGAAAAACAATAAAAGTTACTTTTCTCAGGGTTTTTACTTTTATATATTTGTTTTTTATGAGCAGAACATATTTATTGAGAGAAAGAAAGCTCCTGTCCGAGAGAAGGACAGGAGGGGGGCCCGAGCGGGTAGTTCTGCCTTCTCAGGGTTTTTAAAAAAGACAGTTTACAACAAAAATTACCTTTATTTTCAAGAATTAGTTTTATTTTTAATCCAAAGAAGGCTGCTCTAATAAAGGTTATTTTTCTGCAATAGGTTGGGTGCCAGTAGAAAAAAGCAACAAACAGTACTGCTGGCATTCCTCTGTAGTTAATTACGAATTTGAAATCGCCCTGGTACTCAAGCATCACCCCGAGGATCCTGGACTCTTGGAAATCAGGGCAGTGCCATTAGCAGACCTCTTGGAACAAACACTGGAACTCATAGGAACAAATATTAACGGAAACCCATACGGTGAGTGAAGCCTTTGCCTCATTCAGTTACAGGAGTTGGAATGTGTAAAGGACTTTCCAGGATCAGCTTAAAAGACACATGTGCCCAAGAAATAACACATTTCAATTAATTTCCTAGGATTACATCCATTTTTGTTAATGTGATTTATTAATTCAAAAGGGTGATTTTTGTCCTATCCTCCTTTACTCTGCTATGACAGAACTATGCATGAAAAGTATTTACTCAGGTAACTTTTCAATCCTTTTTTGAAATTTAAGTGAGTTGTAGTGATTCTTTTCATGGATAGTTAGATCTGCACTAATGAAAACAGGCCTGAGTAACGTAAATAATTAGTAATGAAATGTCCAACTTGCAAGTAGATACCACAAGGAAGAGTATACTGAGGGTGCTGTGGCTTACACTGTGCAAGCAAAGGGGACAGACCTAAGGACGCTGAAGCTGCAACATCAGAAGTAGACTGATGAGAGGTCTGAAGCTAAGATAGTAATTGTACAAGGTTCCAGAGACATGCTGCAGCTGGTTGGCGAACATTAAATGATAGCTGAATGTGGTTAATGGTGTACAGACTGGCAGACTTTTCCTAACAAAAGTGAGAGTAGCGTTTTAAGCTTTGTAGACCACACCTGTGACATGGGCTTGTCTGCTTCAGTGCATGGATGGTCCTCTGAAGCTGATCATAAACACAGATGTCTCTGTGGACTTGACTTGAAGGTCCATTTGCCAACTCTTGGTTTATATGTAGGCAGAATTTGGATTTCTTAGACTAAGATGCCACAGCTGAGTGGAATTTAATGCACTTGGGTTATATTCTCTTCAAGGAACATCAGTTAAGCTTTTGTTTAAAAAAAATGTACGAGTTTGCTTACACTTTCAGTGTTTTTTAAAGACTTTATTTGGCGAGGTACATTGGCTCATTTGTCTTTCACGTGGTTAAAGGAAATTGTATTGTTTAGGTTTAGGAAACAAGAAACATCCAATACATCTTCTCATACCACATGGAGCATTTCAAATAAGAAATCTGCCTGAATTGAAGCACAGTGACCTACTGTCCTGGTTTGAAGGCTGTAGAGAGGGGAAAATTGAAGGAATCGTATGGCATTGCAGTGATGGCTGCTTAATTAAGGTAACAGCAAAACTACAGCTTGTCATTGTTACATTTGTACAGCAAAGATGTGGCATCAGAAATCTCTGTATAAACTGCAGCAATTCTGATTTGTAGAATATTCTTTTATCTCACATGCCATCATTCTTTGTATGTTAACAGTGTTTCTTAAGGGGTTTTCTATGCTTCAAAATTAACTTGATACCGCATACCCTTGTCCTGAAAATTCATTTTGCACAGTGGAGCCAAGACATCCTGTACCTAATTTATCTCAGCATTGTCCTGACTTCCTTGACTAGTTTGTTGAATAAAAAACACCAATAATTGATATAGAATGGATTGTCTTACACTTTTTACCTGTCCTCCAAATTTTTTGATTTCTCACAAATATGTGGAATTCATGGATGTAATCTTAAAGAATTGTCAGCTACACATAATTCAGTGAAGATTGCGTAGTAATAGTGGTACCTCAGTTTACGAGCTCAGTTTGTTTTACAATTTTGGGGGAGATGGCCTTGGTTGTGTGTGTCAGATGAAGTGGAGTTTGTGAACAGAAACAAAATTTTGCTAAATGTTTTGTGAACTGAACTGTTCACAAACAGTAGTGTTCGTGAACCAACGTTACTGTATTTGTCACCTGTTACTTCCTTTGTTAATCAGTTTTCAAAGATTCATACCCTTTAGTGTATGTACTTCTTGCCCCCCCAACTGGCTTCTACTTTAGGCCAAGATTCATGCTTAAATTACTGTGTTGTCCTCCTGAGCGTTATTTTTTAGATTTATCCCTGTCCAGTCCTTTGCTCATGAGTGACTCCGAGTACTGCCTTGCATGAGGCTGCTGAGCTGTTAGCGCTTATCGTGATGGCCCCGGATGAGCTGCCTAGAACTGTTTTCCATCCTGCCCTGATACCTTTACATTGTGTATGATCAAGGGGTATTTAACTGGTAAAAGAAGAAAATCCACTGTTTTATCACGTATTTCTTTTGGTAATTGTGACTCCTCTCTTGTATTTTCCAGGTAGGTAGCTTATATAATCAGCCACAGACTCTCTAACTAATTACATTTTTACAGTGCTTGTCATATTCTTGGTATTTTATATGTCCAGGTGCTACAAATACATACAGTGAGTAGGACAGTGACTCCAATAGGAAAGACAGATAAAAACAAGTAAATATGTAACGTTTCAGGAAAAGGAGAAAGTGGAGCCTTGCACAGGGCCTGACTGGATTGTAGGCACCCCTTATAAATACCTAAGCTAATAAAGATGGTATTTGTAAACTAACCCTAAAAGCTAATGCAGCTTTTTTCTCTCTGCAGGTTCATCGCCATCATCTTGGTTTATCCTGGCCAATTCCAGACACTTACATGAATTCAAAACCTGTTCTTGTTAACATGAACCTGAACAAATATGACTATGCCTTTGATACCAAGTGTTTGTTTAATCATTTTTCAAAAATAGATAATCAGAAATTTGGTAGGCTCAAAGATATAATACTTGATGTATAAAATGGAAATCCAATTAAAATTAGCTTTCTTATTACATTCAAATCTTGAATATTCTGCCATTCTAAAAAGGTAAAAATATTTCAAGAGTTTGTCTATTGTGAAATAGATGATTATATTGTCTAGCATTTGAACAAATGAATTTTCCAGTTGTACATACTTGTTCAAAAACTTTTCAGAATCCATATATTAATTTTAGTCCCTAGATATAAAAAGGCAATGAATGATAAGCTTTGTCGATGCTAAGTGGGTGATAATTTGAAGATAACAAATGAATCAGTAATTCACTTTAAAATTTATATACATCAAGCTCAATTTATGTTTGCTAGACATTTAACAAATGTATGGCTTAATCTCATAACTTAATGTGTACTTTTGTGTATGAATATATATAAAATATATATATATAGGTTTAGGACATGAGTCTTAATATACATAAAAGTTATATAAAACTTCTAATTTTAAATTTTAAAGTTACCTTTTTAATATTTTAAGAAAAAGAGATTATGAATATAGGGAAACTCACTCACTGCCTGTCTTATGGTCCTGATTCTAAAAGTCTTCAAAAATATATTCTAGTAGCTTAAAAATTCCAGTTTTATTTACTAAAACTCCAAGTAAAAATACAAAATAGCAAGAAATTCCTTAGTTCAGACTTGCTTGATTTCCAGATGAAATTTTAACATATGAAACAAATAAATAGCTAAATAAGATTACAATTACACGTGACACTTAATAAATGGGGAAATCAACAGGGCTTTCCTCCTCATCGGCAGACTGCTCGGAAGCAGCACCAGGGCTAGTTAGCTCCACTCCAACCTGCTCAGAAAGCTTTTTTAACTTTTCTTCCAAGAGAATATTTTTTTTCACTTCTTCCTTATAATTATACTTCAGATCTTCAATTTCTTCAAAAAATGAAGGATCAAAGTTTTCTAGTTCTTTTTTCAGCTTTTTTATTTCTTCCTAATAGAAACATAGTATATTTTAGTTACATGTAAGAGTACAAGTTTAAGGTTTGAACTAAAGAAGTTATTATAAACATGAAAGCCACAGTAACCTAAACAGTCAAATACGTTCATAAAGGCAGAAGAATTTCCATAAACTTCGTTAAGAAGGTTTTAATGGTATAGGGTAAGTAACTTCTGAACTGCCAAATTATCTTTCTGTAAAATATATTCTAAACTTTGGCTAAAATTCACTATTAGATTCTGATGAAGTTTAATCTTTCTCTAAAAGTACATCAGGTACTTTGAGCATTCAGAAAAGTATTATTCACATTTTAGTACTTTTGTTAAGATTTTTTGGTTTCTAACAAATACCAACTCTTTATTCAATACTGTTCAACTTTTATAAGAGTATTCATGCATGATCAAGGAAAAGCTGATACTTCTGCCTGGTTAAGTTAGACATCTGCAGAAGACAGAACTTGAGCTTAATGCAATTTAGAGTAGCCAGTGATTGGTCAGCTAGTTCCCAAGGCCGTTTGTTCTGTTCAGAGTATTAAAAAAGGTAAAGCATAGACAACATTTTTAAGGGACCTATCACCCTGGGAAAAGATTCCTGAATAGAATATCGAAATGTATGTAAAGACATTGTTCCCAATGTGACCTAAAACTTAAATCAAGAAAATATTACAAACAAAATGTAAAGTTCTATTGCTACAGTACAAAAATAAATTTACTTTCTAATTGTTTGTTTTGAGTATTTGTATCTATTTAATAAGTTTTTAGCACAAACATAATGAACTTTGTTATCAAGGTGAAATTATAAAATAAAATTCCATAAATTTTCAGGATACATACTAAAAACTCAAGATGATAATCATACAAATTACTTTCCATAAAACATTTATAGTATCTACCTTCAAATGCTGCTTTTCTAGATCTGATATTTTGAGCTGTGTCTCTAGATCATTTATAGCTTCCTTTAATTGATCAGCATCTGACAAAAAAATTAAGAAGACTCAGGTTTTTCCCATTTTAAGTTCAAGATAAAGGATTTGCTTCAGCAAATTAGTCACAAACTTATGAAATCTACAGCCTTGGAAGCACATCATTTTATGCTGAAACACTTTACATTCTGAATACTGAATTGTACCTGTTTGGTATATCATGGCTAGCAAAGAAAACGTTGAGTACAGACAAAGTCATTTTTTACACATGAGAAATTCTTATTTTCATAGAAAAGTTCTACAACCAGTGAAATGGGTTAGATACTAAAAATATGTAAGAAAGACACATGGCAAGGCAAGGGATTAAGACTACAGGCTGCTGAAATGCTCCTACTCAATTCAAGACTTGGTATTCTAAGTTGGTATACACTAATCATATAATTACTGTGTACCAAATGTCCGAGGCAGGGTGTGTGATATAAGTATGACATAACTGATACTTCGGTAGGAAAGCGTAAGTTCACAAATACCACAGTTCTAATATACAGGCTGTTCCTCACATGGCAATGTATCTTTAACTTTAGAGTTAATCCACAGGCGAAGAGCCTTTCAACATCTGTTAGAATCAGTTCTAAACACTGCATGTAATGTGCCATATCACATGTAACCACTGGAATATATAAACCTGTGTTAAAGTCGGGGAAAATTGTGAGCAGAAAACAAATTTCATGACTCAGGTAAGTGCATTCTTTAAAGTATCCCTGGAATGCTCCTCTAGGAGAGATTTAAAATAAAGATGAAAAAATTATTTTCTAGCAAGATTCAAGTCAGCAGAGGCCGCAGTGAAATCTCTCTTGAAGCTCCCCTCACAGAAGGTCCTAAGGAGTTACTATAATGCACAGACTGGTAGACAGTGCAGGAAGGAGTGAATTATGGAGAGCATCTTGTGAAAGCTGAGTGATTTAGAACTTCCAAAACAAATCTGGTTAGATTTTGAGGCTTAACCTTTTGAAATAAGTTATCTTTATACCCTTCACATGAGATAAGCAGTAGCCAAATTCACTGAGAAAATTTAAAATAGGGGCTGTTTTGTATAGTGTCTAATCCTCCAAGCTGGCTGCTGTGTTAATGTCTGCTCCTAGGTGCAAGAGACCAGGAAGCATACAGGGGTTAGGAGGAGGGACTACCAAGGAGGTTCACATTTCACAGTGTACTTTTATCTCTGCCACTTCCTAGAGGCAGGATTTTGGGGTCAGACTACTAACTCCCCTGAATCTATTATCACATGGAAAAATGAAGGCAAAAGTAGATGGCATCAGAACGAAATAATGCTTATTAAGCACGTTCACATCTGGCATCAGTTCTACATAAGGGCTGTAATACAAGTACCATGTAGCATCAGGACTACAAGGTAGGATACTGAAAAAAAGTTTTATTCAGGTATAAATTGGTATAATCTTTTAGGGTAGAATCTGACACATCAAAAAATCAAATTATTAGGGGCTGGAGGATATAGCTCAGTGCCATAAGCACCTGCCTGGCAAGTGCAAAGTCCTGAGTTCAATCCTGGTACTTCAAAAAACCACCAAATTATCAAACAATAGCATAACTATCTTAGATGGTTCATTACAGAATTACTTTATAATAGCAAAATCTTAACCACTTACAAGTCCAATTACTTAAATATAAGATGACTAAAAATTCTGTAGTTTTTTGTTAATTTTTATAATAGGAAACAAACAGTTCTACCAAGTTTCTTCAATACAAGAATCAACTGGCTGAAATGACACCTGCCCACGCAAAGCTCAGGATGGTATGATGCTCCAAGTCAATAGCTAACTGGTTATAATCAAACTAAAGATCTCAAAATGTAAATTGCTAAGCATATTACCTATATGATAATAAAATATTGAATTATTAAAAGGCTGACATACACACAGACTTTAAACAATGTCCACAGAGGGGCTTAGTCAGTGTCAAAGCATTTGCTTAGCACGTATGAGGCCCAGCACCCCCCCTACTCCCACACACAAAGCTAGAAACACGGCATGAATTTAATTTCACACCATCCTCCAAGAAAGCATCTGTGTCTCTGTCCGTCCGTCCGTCCGTCCGTCCATCCATCCATCCATCCATCCATCCATCCATCCATCCATCTAACATAGGTTTATTCTCTTCTCACAGCAGGTACATCTTGTAAAGTTGGAACAACACTTTGGTGAATATCCAATCATTCCTAATACACTTTTTCACACACACACACACACACACACAGACACACACACACACACACACACACACTCCACTGGTGGTAAATTATCTCAAATACTCAGCACAAGTCATTCTGGTAGATTCTATGTTTACAAAAGACAAAACACAAGTGCTAAGGGCCTCGCCTGAGATCATCCTACTAACAGTATCAGAGCCAGAACTCAAGCCTCTTACAGCTGGCCCCAGAGCAAGAGCTCTGCATGTGCAGTGGCAGCCTCCTAGGGTTTCCACCTTATGGTCATCTCTGCATGGAAACTTAAACAAGGACATCAAGCACTGCCTAATACTGGAGGGACATCCACTGGGATATGTGATTAGATTACTCAAATGTTTCATTTTGTTTGTCTGCAAATATACCATGCACTATGACTTGAGATTATAAATGTTTTAGTCAATAGGCAAGTTTATAAATACAGACTCTTCATGAGGAATCAGCTGCAGGTTGTGTCTGCATATATGTATATGCGGACATTCCCTATATGCATGTATGTGCTGTATGTTAATGGGTCTGGACGCATGTGTGTACCTGCATGTACAGAGGAAGAGAACAAGGACTAATCACTACTGAATGGGAATGGAAGGTAACAGGACAGTTTCTTTTTGCAGTAGAAAAAAGAATGTGTACAACATCTAATTGCTTGTAGCTTTAAATTAGCAACAAAGGAACGATCAGTAGTATTTAGAAGAACATGCTCACGGATCCACAGACCCGATCTGAGCAAGCCAAGGAAACATCTAATGTTCATTCCTTTGTCCTGCGCTGTGATTACATCTGCAGCAACACCTCGCGGAACATGAGAAAGAGGCAAACTTGCTGCTCAACAATATAAAGAGGCCTGAATGTGAATATGTTTATAGCCTGGGGAGATAATACCTTAAAATTTCCTATCAGGGATTTGGTTCTACAGGAAGAAAATTTTTAGAAACCTAACACAGAATAGGCAAATTCTAATTAAAAAACATGCAGTAGCAAACAAGTCTTAAAAAATACAATATAGACCCAGAGCGCAGGCCCGGCGAGTGAGTGAGACAACTGGGGGCCGTGGGATCCTGAACAGACCCAG